GGACCCCCCCCTCCCCCCTCGAGTGCACAAATTTTTGTGCACCGGGCCTCTAGTATATATATAAAAGCCAAGCGACCGAAATGACTGGTCGCTATGATGTGCACTGTGGCAGCCAACAATCCCAGTCAGGGCCCTGTTTGGGCCCCCCAATCTGCCCTCAGCCACTCCCACTGCCCCAGCCCTGATTGCCCCGATTGGGGCAGACAGCCGGACCCCACCCGTGCATGAATTCGTGCACCGGGCCTCTAGTATTTTAATAAAAGTTATGTGAATTTGGTCTCTCTCAAAATATTTTATTGTACAGTACTCACCTTTCTTGTGATAATGTGAGATGATACAGTGTCTATGTGATGAGATGAAGTGAGGTAAATGACATAGGCGTTGTAACTTAGTGTTAGGCTACTAGAAGGGTTACTTGAAAACAAGCACTGTGATACCTCAACAGTTGATCTGAGATGGCTCATGGGCAAGAAGCAGATATAGCATGGATCACTGGAAAAAGGGATGATATATGTCCTAGGCGGGATTTCATCACAGTACTCAAAATAGCATGCAATTTAAACTTATAAATTGTTTCATTTCTGGAATTTTCCATTCAATATTTCTGAACAGTGAACGACTGCAGGTAATTGGAAAACATAGAAAGCAAAACCAGGGATAAAGGGATTTTGAACTGCATTTTTGAAAATACATTTTTGATACTGTATTTTTGAAAATAGGTAATTAGTTGTCTGTTTTTGAGAAATGGTAAAGAAACCTTTTTGAGAATTTCTTTGGAAAGCAAATGACCTCTTAATATATGTGTTACAATCATTTAGATTTTAGTACTTAAAATATTTTCTTAATGTCTAGATAGACACATAATCTGGTTTTTAATTTGTAGTTGAGTATATTTTATTTAATTTCAATCAAGAATTCATGAAACAATTTTAATACTTTTAAAAACTCAGGATCAAGAACAAGTACTCAATGATACAGTGGATGGAAAAGAAATATATAATACAATTCGTCGAAAAACAAAAGATGCCTTTTATAAAAATATTGTTAAAAAAGGTTATCTTCTAAAAAAGGGTAAGTGTAAACCTTAAGACTAAAGATTCAATTTCAGTTTTTTTTTATTTACAATAGAAACATTGTGCTTACATTGAGATATGTTACCTAATAAGTTGTTTTGACCTGAATTATTAGTAATTGACCCTTGATTAGAGAGCTTTTAAAGTTTTAGGAAACAGCTTATGTATTTCCAATTATGTCTTTAAGTCCTGAGGTCAGTTCCAGTGCTAGGCATTTGATTCTTTGCCTCGTTCTTACCTCATAACACCACCCTCACCCCATTTTTTTAAAGAGAAACTTGGCGTATTCATGGTATTATTTTATTTTATAGATTGGCCTCAATCTGACATTGAGAAATGTTAGGGGGTTGGAAGGGCACATGGTTACTGGAAGAGTTTTATTTTTAATTGTTGTTGTGTGTGTTTTTATGACTGAAAAAAATTACTCCTAAATAAAAAATTTTGAAGAGTTTATCATAATGAAATTTCCAAAAATATAGTTTAGATGCCCTTGTCATTTACTCTGATTCATTAAAAAAGAAGCAATATAACAATATTCAGTTTTCTACAGATAAATTATAAACATTTTCTCATTTTCTAAGGATTAGTATGTTATTTAAGCTTTGGAATATAAATTAAAATATTTTCTTTTCAGTAATGATAATTTTTATGATTTTAATATATATGACTTCATCATTCATCATTTGGCTAAGGGAACTTTTCTTTTTCTAACAGGCAAAGGAAAACGGTGGAAAAATTTATATTTTATTTTAGAGGGCAGTGATGCCCAACTTATTTATTTTGAGAGTGAAAAACGAGCTACAAAACCAAAAGGATTAATAGATCTCAGTGTATGTTCTGTCTATGTTGTTCATGACAGTCTCTTTGACAGGTAAGAAATTGGTTTCCTGTTTCTTTTGTAACTGTTTTATTAATAAAAATAGTGGGTGTGTTCAGATCATTTCAAATAATAGAAAACCAATTTTGAGAGCCTTAAAATCATCCGAAAATGTCAGATTTACTTTCTAGGGTAATTTTTGTCTTCCTTACTTACTTTAGACTAATCTGTGCATAAAATTCTACTCCACTGTATTAGGTAGAACTTGGGAACGACATTTCCTATAGTAAGACTTGACCTGTGTATAGCATGTTTCTTCTCGGTCCCTATCACCAATCTTTTGAGTGACTTACTCTGAGTCTTGTTATTTTCCCCCTATTTTATCACATTCTCTGTTAACTTAGTGCATCTGATAGTAGTAGGTGTATATTCATTTGTACTATAACTTGATAGGCGTGTTTCTAAGTAATTTTACATTGAGAAACAATCCTATCTAATAATAGACAAACAGGGTAATTGACCATACCTTCGCTACGCTTTCCATTGGCTAATCAGCGAGATATATGGCGGTTAATTTGCGTATGTAGGCGGGAAGCGGCGGAGCGAAGACTGAAGGCAGCTCTGGCCGGAGCAGCGAAGGCTTTGAAGGCGGCTCTGACTGGAGTGAAGGCCTGGGTCCCTGGTGCCAAAGGAAAACCGGTGCAGGCAGCCAGGGGAAGGGAAGGCCTATTGCACGAATCTTTTCGTGCAACAGGCCTCTAGTCTACACTAATAATAGACAAATATGTAAATTGACCACCCTCCGCAATGCCCACAGCCAATCAAATTATGCAGATTAACCTGACAAAGATGGTGGGCTTGTGGGCAGTGCACATGCACGCAGGTGCCGAGCGGCCGGGGTTGGGGCGGGAGAGCAGGCGGCTTGGGGGGCTTGGCAGAGCGGGAGAGCGGACGGAGAGCGAGCGGTTTAGCGGCTTGGGAGAGCGGACTGAGAGCGGGTGGCTTGGGGGGGTGGAAGCCCAGAGTGTGGGGAGCACCAGGAATTCTAGGAATCGTAGTTCTGGTGGCAGCCCCTGGACCAGAAGCCGAAACCCAGAGTGAGGGGAGCACCAGGAACGCTGGGAATCGTAGTTCTGGTGGCAGATGCATTGCGGGATCTCCTAGACACTCGAGCAAAGTGAGCCTGGAGCAAGTTACTGTTGCAGGTGGGGGATGGAGAGAAAGCAAAGGTGAGAGACATAAGTAAAGTCAGAGTGTCAAGGAAAAGTTCAAAGGAAGATATCTTGCAACTTCTAGGAAATCTCCACCATTGGAGCAAAGAAAAAAAAAATGCCTCTATTATTCTGTGAGCACCAAACAAACTGGGTTGGGGTCTCAGACAATTCGCTCATATGATTGCAAAAACAGAAACTCCTGGATTGGAGAGGGCTTCCCTGAGGGCTCCCAGATTGGAGAGGATGCAGGTCGGGCTAATGGACCCCCTCCCCACCCCCACCCCCTGCACAGATTTCGTGCACCGGGCCCCTAGTTGTAATATAAAAATAATTGTTTTGGTAGGAGAATATCTCAGATTTGATAATAAAACATTTTTCTTACCCTAATTTTAAAGTTTAGAAAAATATATAAAATGTATACACTACAGCTAAATCCTGAACATCACAAGGCAAATCCAGCTGTTGATTACATCTAGTTTTTTTGCTCAAGTACAAGAGCCTTTCTTTACCTTCCATCATCTGTATTATCAGTAATCCATTTTAGAATCTTTTTAGATATATTTACCATTTTTATTACTTACTGTTATGATTAATAAAACACAAAGCAATTAAAACAAAATGTTTCTAGTTTTATACTAACTAAATTGGTAAAACTACATGAGAAATACCTATAGAGTGACAACTTCGTCATTTCTTTTTTCCAAATTGTTTTGGAGATCACAGTAGTGTTATTTATGAGTTTAAGAGATAGTCAGTTTTCTTTTTGTTTTGTTTTTTGTTTTTGTATTTTTTAAATTTTTTTTTGATAGTTGTTTTAAATGGTTAAAATAGCTTTGTGAAATGCTGAACTGAATAGTTTCCCTACAGCAGGGCTTTTTGGAGTCTCAGCTAGTGTTTATAATGTGAATCATTAAAAGTGGAGTAGAATATTAAGTATTTCACTAATTTATTTGACTTTGATACCCTCCCCCCTTTTTTCTAAACACTTCATAATATCCCATAAAAATAGCTCTTCCAAAAAGTAAACAAAACAAAAAAAAACACACAAGGAAAACAGTTTTGGTAAGACATCTGGCTCCCTTTCAGCTTTCTGCTCTGCCTGCCTTTGTGTGTGCTGGATTCTTTCTCACAGAGCAGCTTCCTTCATGGTACCAAGGTGATAAATAATATCAGAGAAAGGAGTGAGCATTCCCTCCAGATCTATTGAAAATCCAGAGAATAGGATTGAGCCACCTCTGACAGTTTCTAGTCTTGGGTTACCTGAGGTAGCAAAAGAATGGGAGACGACCATTGAGTGCCCAGCCCTACTACTGGAGGTCATCCCACCCAAACAGTGAAGATGTTTTGTTCTATGGGGTATGAAATGGATGTCAGGGAGATAGTCACACTATAGCTTATTTGTGCTATCATTAGTTGCAGGAGGGAAGAGAATTTGGAGACTTAGCTTATTGAGATGAGTAATATGAAATAGGTGGTTTAAGCTATTGAAGGATAAGTATGAATCCATTTAAGTAAGGCAGAGCTTCAGTATGTCATGAATAAGTTATAGCTGTTCTTAAAATATTAGTGGTTGTAAAAATTATAACACTTGAAGTTATATGGTTCTATAAACTGTTGAAATTCATTGTTTTATTGTGGCAAAAGAATTGGTACATAACACTGTAGGCAGAAAGTTCTCTATAGAGGCCATACCTCAGTACTTCTCTCTGACTTGCTTATTGTATCACCCAGATACTCTGAATATTATTTTATTCACTGTTTTTTGTTGATCATCAATGAAGTTAACTTTTTATGTTCATGTGTAAAATTTAGTTTCATTTTGTTTTTTATACATTTTTTCTGTTAACACAGAAGTTAAAATTGCATTACTGTAAAATATGAGGGCTTTCTTGAGAAACATAACTAATTTATATATCTTTTCATTATGTTATGTTATGATTGACTTTAATGTACAAATATTTATTTTCCCACCATACCATAAAGGCAATTTTGTGCTTAAAACTGGCAAATCATTAAATTCACAAGATAGAAATAATAGTCTTAATTTTAAAAATCCAACCCATTAATTAGGCCACTTAATAAGAAATGTATAGAATTTAGATAGTTAAAGTCCAATAAATATTGTCTTCCTCAGCTTAAATATTGCATAAAAGTTACTGAATAAATCATCAGTGCCAAGTACATTGTGCTGGCACCATACTGCTAAAGAACTGTGAGCTTCAAAAACACCAGTCTCTCTCTCCTCCCTTCCCCTAATCCTCTCCTCTCATATATCTGTTCCTGCACTATCAGGTTAACACTTGTTAAGAGATCATGCAATTACAGCTAAAGCGAAAGCTAAAGCCAAATATGCTTCATAGAGCTGGAGAACTGCTTGTTTTATCAGTCTGCATGAAAACTGCCACCTCTGTGTTTCTGACCAAAAAGCAAAAGAACTAGGAGAGATACCACTTTCAAATGCTATTAGATTGTGTTCTGATTAGGATTGTTAGTAAATGAATTGATGAGTCGAAAGGTACAGAGAATACATTTTCACTGCAGACTTGGAAGTAAATTATTGGTCATTCAAAGAAACTAGGAAGATATTATGGAAATAGTATTTTAAGTTTCTAATTGATGATGAGGCTTCATGATAGGAATATTTAAAGGATTTACATCAAAAATTATTCTGGAAAATAAGCAATACAGAGATGCTCTGATATGTAATAGTTTGTATACCTGAATTCCATATGAAATAATATTGTTACATAGAACCTAATAAAATCCATGCTGCTTTAGCTGCATGTTTTTAGTTTTATGGGAAGAAATGGGATCAGTATACCACTGTCCTGTTTGATACCAAAGTATATAAGCTATCTAAAGCAGCGGTCGCCAACCTTTCGGACCTCACGGACTACTGGTTGGCGACCGCTGATCTAAAGTTTATGATCTAGAAAAAGAAAACTTTGATGAGTGATTCTCACTTTGCAGATTTATTGAAGAATGGGTAAACTTCCTCAAATTGGAAGTACAGCACAAAAAGATACTAACATGTTCTGAAAGTTTTTGGATTCAAAGCAGAAATTCAACTTTGGAAAAGTGAGGTTAAAAATGCTTAACTACTAATACTTAAAATTTGAATAATATGAATCTTAAAGAATTATTAAGATCAATAAAGCAACTGCTATATAGTTTGAGGAAAAGCTTTACCATTATTTTGATGAACTTTATATTAACATGCAACTGGATTGAAAACCCGTTTGTAGTATCAAAAGAAAGGTCAACGTTAGATTTGCCAATTACAGAAAAGACCTTCTGGAGTTGAAAGATCAGATCTTTTAAATGCAATTTTAAAAGACAGAATTATTCCTATTCTGGTTAATGATATTAAGAAAGGTGTTTCTGTCAGGTAGTGTAAAGCAGTAAATACACATTTACCATTTGCTACCAGATCATCACTTGCTTATTGTGCAGTTTTTTGTTGAATGTGACTCAAGAATTTGAAGACATTTGTAAAAGTCTGGGTCAAGAATTTTATTTAATGACTAGAGGCCCAATACATGAATTCATGCATGGGTGGGGTCCCTTGGCCTGGCTGGCAATCGGGGCCAATTGGGGCCATCTCACCCAGTCCTGATGGGGGTCAGCCGGCCGGGAGGAGGGACTGCGGGAGGTTGGCTGACTGTGGGAGGTTAGCTGTGGGAGTGCACTCCTGCATTGAGCAGCTGCCCCCTGGTGGTCAGGGTGTGTCATAGCTATCTGCTGGTTGTCCAGTTGTAACAGTTGCTTAGGCTTTTATATATATAGACTAGTGGCCCGGTGCATGAAATTCATGCACGGGGGTGGGGGGG